TATTATCTTGCTTGTGCCTGATATAAACAAATACCTTGGTTGCACCAAATAATTACAAATATCTCAGTTGTGCTCTGGAATAAGAAAACGTTTGGGTTTTGCCTGTGGTTTTTTCAGTTGGGTTGCACATGATTGGATGCATCCTCTACCAAAAATTTAATATTTGGGAAAACCCTCATGGCTGTGAGCCACGTGCTCCTTTAGCTGTGCCATAATGGGATATTTATCCCAAAATATCCCCCCCCCAAAAAAAAATATTTTTCCAAAGTGATTCAGGGAAGGGAGATGGGCAGGAATGCTGCTGAAGAGGTGAGAAATAAAATTCCTAAACCAAGAGGAATCAGTGGGATAACATCTCCCAAACACTGGGAATTCAGAGGAGCTTAAAATAATCAGATTTGGGGTTATGGGGAATTTTTTAAAATGTGATTGGGAGAGGTGGGGAGGGGGAGTGAGCTCCTCCCTCACCCTCGTGCTCTCCAATATCTGTAATTAGAGTGTGGTGTAATTAAATTGTGGGGCAGCAATGGCAGAACTTCCAGTGTGGGGGAGTTTCATGTGTAAATTTTGGGAATTTCGTGTGTAATTTGTGGGAGTTTCACGTGTAATTTTAGGGAATTTTGTGTGTATTTTTAGGGAATTTTGTGTGCAATTTCTGTGAATTTCGTGTGTAATTTCTGGGAATTTCACGTGTAATTTCTGGGAGTTTCATGTGTAATTTTTGGGAATTTCGTGTGTAATTTTAGGGAATTTTGTGTGTAATTTTAGGGAGTTTCACGTGTAAATTTTGGGGGGACAGGGCTGATGGTGGAGCTCTCGTGGCATTGAGAGCTCCATGGTCATGGACAGGGCAAGTGACCACCCAAACCAGAGATTTCTGCAAGAAATCCCAGAATTCCCTGGATTGACAGGATCATGGATTTATAGACTCACACACTCATTTAGGCTGGAAAAGCTTTTTAAGACCTCCAGGAATGTTGATGGTGTTTAAATTTTGGGTGAAACGTTACTAAAAGCAAAAAAAAATCCAGAAAAACCAGCTTAAATCTGGGGTGATAAAAATGTGTGTGTGGGGGTGTCACCTTTCCTCTGGAAGTCAGAATTCCTGTCAGAGGAATTCTCTGAGCAAGTGGTTGTTTGGAATTTGTGCTGGAATTTGTCTGATAACAGATAATTTTACACGTCAGCCTATGAATATTCAGCAGAGAGGATTTCCACAAGCCTTGAGAAATTTAATATACCAGGGAAAAATAGCATGTAAATTAAACAGGGCCTTGTAAATTAATAATGGATTCCACTTGTGTTTTTATATGTGAGCTGACTGAATATTTTATAAGTGCAAAAATGTTTGTGTTTAAAAGGAAAAAAAAAAAAAAAAAAAAAAAAAGGTGAATTCTTTCTGATGAGCACTGTGGATGGTTGGCTGCATTTTAAATGGGATGTCCATGTGTGTTTTTACAGTTCCTGGGCTTTCTTTTCCTCAAACACATCTTGTATTTTCAACTTTGAGCAGTTGGAAAGTCCCCAATTATGTCGAATTAATTTATTTTTCCAGACCTCTGGTGGTTTGCAGTTGTGGGTGTTCTGACGCTCTTCTCTTTTTAATTTTGACAGGAAAATGAAATCTTAGTGCAGGGCTGAGTCTTTTCCATCTTTTCCCTGCTTTTCCCATGCACTGGGGGAGGGCTGTGCTGCAGGGGCTCCTCCATGAGCCGGGGCCACCCTTTCCAAAATCCCCAGGACATTCCCAAAACATCCCCAGGTCATCTCCTGCCTCCTTTCTGCCTTGGAATAATTCCTGGTTTTCCCGGTTTCTCTTCATTAGCAGCTTTGCTTGGAATAATTTCCCCTTGGCTGCTCAGGCTGAAAACATTCCCCATCCCTCAGGGGGTGACTCTGCTTCCCAAACCTCGAGCATTTCCAGCACCCCAGGGCTTCCATGGAATGGTGGAATTGTTCAGGTTGGAAAAGCCCTCTCAGAGCCAACCCTCAGGCTGTAAAGATCTTTTAATGTTGTTTAATTGCAGCTGGGTTTGAGAAAAGTGAATCTGTTTGAAGTGCTGTTAGTGGTGCTTGGGCAGTGAGCAACAATATATTCGCTATTTGATAATAATAATAATAAAAATAATAGCATTGAGGAGGAGAGGAAGAAAAGAAGAGAAAGGAGAAGGAGGAGAATAAAAGAAGGAGAAGAAAAGGAGAAGGAAGAGAAGAGGAGGGAGAAGGAGAAAAAAAAGAAGGATGAGAAGAAGGAGAAGAAAGGAGAAGGAGAAGAAGAAAAAGAAGAAAATGAGGAGAATAGAAGAAGAGGAAGGACAAGAAAAGGAGAAGGAGAAGAAGAAGAAAATGAGAAGGAGAAGAAAAAACGAAAGAGAAGAAAATGAGCAAGAGAAGAAGAAAAGAAGAAAAGGAGGCGAAAAAGAGGAAGAAGAAAAGGAGGAGGAAAAGAGGAAGAAGAAAAGGAGGAGGAAAAGAAGAAAAGGAGGAGAAGAAGAAGGAC